AACGATGGCGGATTACGTGATCTGTAGTCGTTGGTTCATGGATACCAACCGTCCTGGGCGGGGTTGTTGTAGCCGCTACAACAACAACAACAACCGGCATGCCGTTTTAATCCTCAGTAAATATTCAAGATGGAAATAACACAATTAGGTGAGTTGATAGGCAGGTCTAATATTCTATTTAGTTGGAAGTAAGATTTTCAACATCGATTTTTCCAATATCGATATTGTTCAGCCCGATATATCGCCATATCCATTTTACATGCAATGAACTCAATCGATTCGTGATATCGATACATTCTTAAATATCGAGCATTCCTAGGTTGTGGCCAGATTCCTCTTCTTTTGTCAAACCCATACAAATTCATGATGTCGCTGCCGCGTTCAAAAAAACCATGGCGTCATAATGAAGATAAATTGGGACCCGTAGCTCGGCGTTTTCAATGTAATTTTTCCACCTCTTACCACGGAGTAAAAAGTTACTGATTAGCACACAGCCGCAAAACATTTTTCCCAATATGAATAACTAGACAATAGAATCTATTGAATAGATACATATGTATGTACATTCAAACTATCAAATGCGGTAGAAAGAAAAATGCTTTAGGGTCATTAACTTGTATAACTAAATTACATACCTTTCACGTTCATTTTTTCAATAAATCCTGTCAGAATATGCAATTTTTTCTGCAAAATAACTGTTAAAGAAACTACACTTTGCACAATACACAATTAACAAATTAAATTTTCCGTCTGGCCATTTCCACCAGCAATTTTATCGAATTTCTTTAGTTTTCTTTCGTTGCATCGGCACGGCGAATTTGTGTAGACTTTTATAAATTTTGGAGACTTGCGCAAGTTTGCTTTTGCCGTATTGCCGCAGTCAGCTGAGATTTTTTTATTTTAGTTCCTTTGTTGTTCGCTACCAGTGTTGCCACTAGTAATATTTTCCGACCAAATTTGGTCGCTTCTTTTTCGTTTGGTAGGTTGGTAGGCAAAGATTTTGGTCGGATTGTTGAATAAGTATACTAATAATAATAAGTATACTAATAAGAATAAGTGTACTATAAAAATATATATTTCAAACACCATTTTGCATATAAATATTTGTCAAATAAGAAACCTAATTGGTTTGGCTACTGATGGAGCCAATCTTATGGCTGGAGACTTGGGATGAGAACATTATTGAGTGCGTGCAGAAACCGATGTATTTCATGTAAAGTGCACATGCCACTCACTTCACATTTGCTCAAGCTACGCTGGTAAAAAATTGCCGAAAAGCATTGAGACACTGTGAACGGAAGGAATTTCAGGACTACTGTCCGGTAAAACCCTACAAAATCATGGGCTTGAGATATGGCTTTCATTAGAAAGCGTTGTGTTTAGAAAAGTTGGGTAATGGGATAGTTTGAAACTTTTTTTTTTATTTCCTGCTTTTACGAAGTAAACGGTTGCAATCTGCAGACCTGGCCGGAGGAATGTGTTGCAAAACCAAGTGCTATTTTTTATTTCTATCGTTTTGCCCATAATTAACGCTCTTAACAAAGAGTTCCAAGCTGAAAGCTCTCATTTGCCATACTTATATGCATAGTTGCCAACTTGGTGCTTTAAGCACTAGATTTAGTGTTTTTCGAAAATTAAAACGCCAAAGAAAATGGGTGCATTCCAAAACGTCAAAATACAAAGCATCAGTCTCTTTTATTACCGAACCGCACTAGAAGAAAAAGTCTAACTTGCGCAACCTAGGTGAAAACTAGCATCTAACTGTGGTTGCGTACATTTGGCATTCCAAGCTGCTGAGGTTTAGAAATAAAAGAGACTGATGCTTTGTATTTTGACGTTTTGGAAAGCAGCCAATTATTTAGTGCCTAGTGCCTTTTTTAGTGCTTTTTTTCTGAACTAAAATTACTTCGAGATAGTTAAAACATGAAATAGTTGGAAATATTTAAGGCTGTGGCAGCACTGAATTTACAAGAATCTAGAAATTTAAATGGACTAAAATACAACCATGATTGATAAAAAGCTGAAGTTGCAAACCCACCAGGTAAAATTCTATTCGCGTTGAAAATGCTAGTACGCAAGTAAGTTAAGTATTTCTTTTTTTCTTTTCTGATTATTTGTACAAATTTTGTTTTTTTACCACCTGAGTAAAACACATTGTTTCTTGGTGCTGAATCCAAATCTGGCCTCACAATTGCTCTAGCACTAGAATTTTGAGATATCCTAACCTCAAAGTGCCAAAAACACGGTTTTTATCGATATTAGAGGTTATATAATGAAAACATCAAATTATTTGCTCATTTCTAATTATGGCATCATTTTCGTTTGATGCGATTCGATTTTTCTTTTTCGAGATATACCAGTTTTAATGTGCAGTACTTCGGTATTATGTTATGAAAAAAGCATCCCTTGATTCAAAGAAAATCGGTGCTCTTAGTGTGGTAAAACGCTATTTTTCCAAGTTTTTGGTGCTTTTTGAAAATGAAAAGATGGCAACACTGCTTATATGCTACTATCAAAGCACATTATCTCTTAATTTTTAATAACTTTATTAAAAAAGAAGCGATCAGTAACAATACCAATATTAATTTTAAAACGAAAGCTGAGATATTTATGAAAAGCTGAATCAATTGTTCTGAAATTCTTGAAGTTAAATAATAAATAACACCAGCTAAGATAGTTTCTAAAGAAGAATTACCAATTTTACCTCTTTTGTTAAAGTTTCCCCATCTCATAGATTACGATCCCAATATAATAACCACGCAGTGGATTTTACTGAGGATAAGTGAGCTTGATATTTCCAGCGATCTGGATATTGATATGTTTTTTGGAAAAAAGTTTATTCTATTAAAAATGGAATGAATGGAAGACAGCTCCATGCATCTCGCCATGTTTGTTTTTAATATAATTTCATTACCACATCGCTCTTCGGCTGCAGAACAGAAATTTTCAACGCTTTCTTTGATAAAAACTAAACTAAGAAATAAACTTAAGATTGACAGTATCAGTAGCATAATGTTATGCAAGGAATTTGTAAACAAAAATGACCCGCACTATCAAGAATGATAGAATACAAGATTGCGCCCATGAGAGAGGATTTTGAGTGTAAGTAATGTTTGCGTGACGTCATCTTGGTGCAATTGCGAGGGAAAAATTCCAAAACGCATAGGAAAATATGTAAACAATGCGAAATAATGTAATAATATCGATATTAAATGGTCCAATTTAGCCGGAATTAATAAATATACAAAGTTTAATTTAATAGGAATATGTGGCAATGATTTTGGGCATATAGCCCTTTAGGTAAGTACGACTTTCAGCACATTCCGGATGTTGGAAAAATGCATGAAGTTACATATATGTATGTATGTACATATGTAGTATGTACAGAAAAAAACTTACTTATACCGCACGCTTTCCTTTTGTCTTCTCTTTTACAATTTTCATTTGCAGTAAAAACTGTGTCCTGTAAGAACTGTACAACACATATATAAAGTACGTATACCAAATTAAAGGGAATCAAATTTCCTATTGAATGAGATCAAATTTTTCAAAATCCATCCATTTGTTTTTAAGAGATCTTGATTTCAAAAATAGCTTATTTTGCATTTATGCCGGCAGTTATAATTCGATAAAATTCATCATACCAATCAAGAAGTGAATTTTGAATTTTTATAAGTTATGACTTTTTGCATTTCAGTGACGATGTTCGTTACGCCTTTTTGCATTTCAGGGGACGATATGTAAATTCAAAACTTTAAAGCCGTTTTTCTGGTTTTTTAATTTATTTTTTTTTTGAATTTTTTTGAGTTATGACACTGCTGAAGTAAATGAACATACATACAAATTGAAACTGTAGACATAACGCTGTCGGCAAAGTGAGGAGCGCTTCGAAGACCTTCTCTTTGGAAGCTTTATAAGATCTTCCTGTAACGCTGTCATTCGAAGACAGACGAGAATGTAGGTTTCCAATGACAGAAGTATCAAGTTTTTCACAATAGGTATATGCAAAAAATTGTATTCTAATATTTTTCCGCCAAATCAACAACAAAAAACATAAAAATATAATTCCTGAACTTTGTGCAAAACTCGCGAAAATTCATCAAATTTTAAACTTTTTAATCAGATTTTTTAGAATTTTTTTTGAGTATGCAGTTTTGCAGCACATTAAATTCTAGTAAAAAATTCCAGTTTGGAGTTAGTAAAAAATCGCATTGATTTTTGGGAATTTTTTTGTTGTAAGGTTTTTTGCATTTTTTCCATATGAAGTATTTTCGAAAACAAATTGTTGTATGGAAGAGACTGCGTGAAAGAAAAATTGCCAAAATCAACGATAATTCCTAGCTACTTAAAGCTTGTATTATAATAGAATTTATTGGGCTACAAATCTGCATTCTCAAAAAAATTCTGAAAAATCTGATTAAAAAGTTGAAAATTTTCATGAAAATTTGCTGAATTTTCGCAAGTTTGCACAAAGTTTAGGAATTATATTTTTATAATTTTTGTTGTAGAATGAACCATATTTTTATACGAAGTTTGGGGAAAAATATTAGAATAAAAATTGTTGCATATATTGTGAAAAATTTGCTGTGCCAATGCTTTGTTCTGACAGTGTACATACAATGTTACATATCGTTGGATTAGACTGAAAGTTGATAAGCAACTTTCCGCCATAAGCTAGCAATATGTATTTATTATATACTATAGTTGCGTTCCAGGTGATTAACGATTTGCAAGATTTTAACATGAAGTCGTTCCTGGTCGCCACCTTCCCTAAGGTTTATTAATGACGAAAACAGCTTTTCCTGTACATCCTGTAAAACCTGCAAATCGTGAAGTACCTGGAACAGGGCTTATGTTGCCACAGTATATATACACATATAACTGTTATTTAAAAAACTATACATAATAGCTACCGTTTTACATAATAATACTATTATAAATACGTAGTACAATTTAAGCTAATGATTCTCATATTATGTACATATGTATACTCAACCCACTTGATTTTGTACGTTGATGAGCAATTGACTGCGTGAATTCAGCAATAGATTCAAGAATAGTACGATTATAAAGTTAAATTTAACTCCATTCCGCTGACATGGCACTATGGACAATGTTTTGATGCTGCGGTCGCCGCTTATGCCCAGACACATTTTCTCTTTGTTCAGAAAATACACGAACGCTGCACTAACACAAGTCGGTAATACAAATTTTTTACTTTTTCGGTAGCCAATGCATTAAGCTACTCACTGTATTAACTATAAATTTATTTAATTATTTTGGAAAGCATTGATTATTCAGCAATCGCATAGTAATTTGTAAAGACATATGTACGTATGGATATTTTTGACGGAACTACTGTTGTATTTTTCAGTGCATTTTCAAGGAATATGCATCTTTTGTTACCCGAATCGCCATTGAACACGAGACTCGTAATTCTGATCGTTTGCACAATTGTATTAACCGAACGATTTTTAGCAACTTGTTTTTGTTAATTGCGAAATGGTTCACCGCAATTAAATTGAAATTCTTTTTCCGCACACTTTTTACAGGCGTATTATACTGTTTTTAAAGTTATTTATTTAAACGCTTTGCATAAAATACAAATGACCACGACACTTGTCCAACACATCTTGTCAATCCGCCATGTTTTTAAAGACTGGCCGAAAATAGCGGAACCTGTCAAATCGCCGACAAAAACTCTCCACAAGGCGAATAAGCGGCGTTTGAAGGCCACTGTAGGATTGTAATGCTGCCACTGAGTTCTAAGTGATAAAATTTAAGGAAGTGTTTGGAAAGCAAAGAACGTAAAACCAAAGAAGCAACGAACGTAAATCAAAGAACGTATATCTATAAGATACAACTCGCTTAAGTGTGCCGAGTGAATCTAGAAGGAAGAGGAATTCGCGTCCCTTTTGACACCAAGCTTCGTAAATTGATTCGCCGCAAATTTGATTTCGCGGCGGCAAGGAACACCGAAGAGAGAGATATCGATGATAGAAATAAATAAATGAAATAACAAAATAAATGTCTGCGACTCTTTTTGTTTATTTTCCGTCGGCATTTAACATGATAATATGCGTAGATTTTCTTTATTTTGTAATTTCACACAAATGTAAGAAAATTAAATGCATGCGCTATGCAAGAGCTTATATAGATTTACCTTCTTTGGTAATTCCACATTGCATAAATTCGAATTGATCTCAACCTTTAAGATACAGTCAAAATCAGGGCGGCACATTTTCAAAGTAACGAGTTGTCCCTTATAAATTTACCGAAGAAACTTTCCATTATGGCCGTTCGTTAAAGGTGCGGTGGGCGAAGGGGGAGTGGGCGTGGCACCTCCAACCGACCTTTTTGGAGAGGGCATGAACCACCATTGACAAAACTGAAACCCCCGACCACCTGAGCCCCCTATGGTTCCCTACGGAGCCCTCGGAAAAATGGCAAAAAATCGCAATTTTACTTGCGTCCACAGTATTTTTGCGTAGAATTCCTTTCTGCGTAGGCGGCCTTCGGCCGCGCTTAGGGATTATAACCCTTACTACATAGAATTCTCCTTTCTGTGTGACCTAACTGGGGCTAGCGCCCCAGTGATGTAACCTTGGGAAAAAATGAGGTAACTAGAATTCCCTTTCTGTGTGGTAAACCTGGGGCTACCGCCCCAGTGAGTTCTATTTTGGTTACTGGGTGTTTTATAAAAATGTCTTGTATATAAAAATGTATTGTGCAAATGAATATTTAACATTTTTCAAGCGAATAAACGCAAATGAAAATTGTGATTTTTGGCAATTTTCTAAGGGGTCCCTAGGGAACCATAGGTGACCTAGGTGGTCGGGGGTAGCATTTTTGTCAATGGCAGTTCATTCCCTCTCCAAACAGGTGGGTTAGAGGTGCCACGCCCACTTACCTTTCGCCCACCGCCCCTTTAACGAACCGCCATAATGGAAAGCCAACCCAATTTACCTTCTTTGGACTCACTCGACAAACTTCAGCGAGTTCTCCCATTTTATATATTTACGTTCTTTGAATTTACGTTCTTTGCTACAGACCTCTAAATGAAAAAATATAATTTAAAGCGGAGCGCACATTGGCGCGATTCTGTCGTTGCGAATCCGCAAGCCCAAAAATTACAACAATGCTACCCATACATTTTAATGCGCTAGCGCACACTTGCACGATTCCGTCGCTGCGAATTTTTCGAAGATTCAATGTTCTTCTCTATTGACGCGTTCGAAACGCGGCTTGTAAGGCCCGTCCACATAGAACTTTCCCGTTGGCTTTGGCGTTGGCTTCGGTTTGACAAAACGCACGTTAAAAGTATGCTTGCTACAATGAACGCTTAAAAGCGAATACTTGGGCCACTAAATAAACATACTAACGACAGATAAATTAATATTTCATATCAATAATTGCATTAAAAGCGATATTTCTTGCCCGCACTTGAGTAAAAAGGAAAAATATTTCACATAATTCTATTTATTTGCAACAGCTGACGAGCGACGCACGTGAAAAGTTGAGAGTTGGCCATCTTTTTGCTTTGTGTTGGCGTGAGCGTTGTCGAGTTTTGGCTATGCGGACGGCTGCATTTGAATTCATGTATTCATAGTCAGCTGTTGAAGCGACGCCAATGCCAACGCAACGCCAAAGTTCTATGTGGACGGGCCTGCAGCGTTTTGAAGGCGTCAAAGAAGAAGAAGAAAGGTGTCACAGCAATAAAGGCAAAGAAAAAAAAACTTGTAATGTACAAAAACTAATAAAAACGTTCGTAATAATAGTATTTTGTACGATTTGGGCACGCCGAGTGCGAAAATTCACGAAATAAAGGGAAAATTGAGTGAATTGTACATCGGAAATCGACGCGAAAAAATCGCTCAACTGTGCGCACGTTTGCGGATTCGAAGTTAACAGCCGAAATCGCAACGTATTCGCAACGATGGAATCGCGCTAATGTGCGCTTCGCTTAAAACGAATGCAACCCTGCGCTTTGTTAGAATGAATACGTGGTATTGCCATTTTGACGGCTCACAGCTGTGCAAAATATGTGAAAGACTTGTTTTGTAGAAAAATAATAATAGTTGGAGTGTATAATTGTATTAAAACAGAAATATCTATTATTTTAATTAGCATACGTATTTTATTTTCATCACAAAATGTTAACGCTACGCGATAGACAAATAAGTAAGTCAAGTGGTATACCAGCGCCCAAATTCCAAACCATTTACAACAGCAACGGGTGGGGTGTCTGCGCTGGTGTTTATGATCGTGAAAAGAAAAAAAACCCATCCCTACGCAGAAAGGAATTCTACGCAAAAATACTGTGGACGCAAGTAAAATTGCGATTTTTTGCCTTTTTTCCAAGGGCTCCGTAGGGAACCATAGGGGACCTAGGTGGTCGGGGGTAGCATTTTTGTCAATGGCAGTTCATTCCCTCTCCAAACAGGTGGGTTAGAGGTGCCACGCCCACTTACCTTTCGCCCACCGCCCCTTTAACGAACGGCCATAATGGAAAGCCAACCCAATTTACCTTCTTTGGACTCACTCGACAAACTTCAGCGAGTTGTCCCTTTTTATATATTTACGTTCTTTGAATTTACGTTCTTTGCTATCGGTTGCTACACATGAACGAAAGACACAAGATCACGTAAGAAGAAGAGAGTGAAAAAAGTCGATTTTTTTAGCGGGTTCTACGCCATCTTGTTTCACTGGAAAACAAGCGAAAGTAAACAAAGCAAAGAAAACAACGAAAACCAAAATTAGCCAAAATTATTGTCAGCCACTTTAAACGCACAATTTAGGTAAAATGATGCAACAAAATGCTTTAAAATGTGTTGTCATGTTGAATTAACTCTTCTTTACTTGAATAAAAGTGTAAAATAGTGGTGCTTGTGATGTAAACAAATCGTCAGCTGACGAACCCGCTTTCGCAAACTTTTTTCTCAAAACCAGTTACAAATACAACGTCGCGTTCTTACGTGATCTTTTATTTTTCGTTCATGGGTTGCTACAGACCTCTAAATGAAAAAAATAATTTAAAACGAATGCAACCCTGCGCTTTGTTAGAATGAATACGTGGTATTGCCATTTTGACAGCTCACAGCTGTGCAAAATATGTGAAAAACTTGTTTTGTAGAAAAATAATAATAATTGGAGTGTACTAATTGTATTAAAACAGAATTATCTATTATTTTAATTAGCATACGTATTTTATTTTCATCACAAAATGTTAACGCTACGCGATAGACAAATAAGTAAGTCAAGTGTTATAGCAGCGCCCAAATTCCAGACCATTTAGAACAGCAACTGCGCTGGTGTTTATGATCGTGAAAAGAAAAAAACCATCCACGCAGCCAAAAGAAAAGTTAAACCTAATTATTTGTCATTCCAGATGCCATCAAGCAGATGCTAAACTTAAATCTTCAGCAGCCGAAAGCTCTAGCTGCGGAGCCAGTTTGGAAAATACTAATATTCGATCGGGTGGGACAGGATATCATTTCTCCGATAATTTCCATTAAAGAACTACGCGAGCTGGGTGTAACTTTGCATGTGTGAGTACAAATGCAAAGTAATTTGCTCTCTACAACTATTTCCATTTGCCATAGATCACCATAAACTTTATTGCAGGCAACTACATTCCGACCGTGACTCCATACCAGATGTGCCTGCCATTTATTTCTGCTTGCCCACCGATGAGAATTTGGATCGTATTCAACAGGATTTCGGCAATGGTTTATACGACGTTTATTATCTGAACTTCTTAGCGCCCATCACACGTCAGAAGATTGAAGACTTAGCTGCGGCAGCACTACAATCTGGTTGCGTTGCTAATATACATCGTGTATACGATCAATACGCAAATTTCATTAGCTTAGAAGACGATTTTTTTATATTGAAACATCAAAAAAAGTGAGCAGCTGTCGTATTATTCCATAAATCGTGCAAATACGCGTGATGACGAAATGGAAGCGCTGATGGATTCTATAGTAGATTCGCTTTTTGCGGTATTTGTTACATTAGGGAATGTGCCAATCATACGCTGTCCACGCAATAGCGCTGCAGAGATGGTGGCACGCAAATTGGAAAAGAAATTGCGTGAGAATTTATGGGACTCGCGGGCCAATCTTTTCCACATGGATGCCACCCAAGCAGGCGGGGTATTTAGTTTCCAACGTCCTGTCCTTTTACTTTTGGATAGAAACATAGACTTAGCAACACCATTACATCACACATGGTCATATCAAGCATTGGTGCATGATGTGCTTGAATTGGGTCTGAATTTGGTTTACGTAGAGGACGATAGCGCAACGAATACAGGTAGGTAGTGTAATTTTTAACTGGCCGTCATAAAACTGATTTATTCCATTTCACCAGGAACACGAAAAAAACCAAAAGCTTGTGATCTTGATCGCAATGACCGCTTTTGGGTTACACATAAAGGGAGCCCATTCCCTACGGTGGCCGAAGCTATACAAGAGGAATTGGAATCATATCGCAATTCAGAGGAAGAGATCAAGCGTCTCAAAACATCCATGGGTATTGACGGCGAGACCGAAGTAGCTTTTTCCATGGTGAATGATACCACTGCGCGACTCACTGACGCGGTCAATTCGTTGCCACAATTGATGGAAAAGAAGCGACTCATTGATATGCATACAAAAATCGCTACATCAATACTGAATTATATAAAAGCTCGACGCTTAGACTCATTTTTTGAATTGGAAGAGAAAATTATGTCAAAGCAAACACTCGATCGGCCGCTTTTGGAATTGTTGAAAGACCCAGAATTTGGACTGCCTGAAGATAAAATTCGTCTATACATTATTTACTATATTTGTGCACAAAATGTACCCGAATATGAATTTGAGCGCATGAAGGAAGCACTGCAAGAAGCTGGGTGTGATCTCTCGCCACTTCCATATGTGCAGCGTTGGAAGGGTATTATGAATCGTTCGCCTGCAATGAATCCGGCTGCACAATATGAGGGCGGTGGTACGCGTACAGTATCTATGTTTTCGAAATTGGTGTCACAGGGTTCGTCGTTTGTGATGGAAGGTGTTAAAAATTTGGTCGTCAAGAGGCATGTAAGTTTGAAAAGACGATTAAAATGTATTAACAGGTGTTAGCTAGAGATAAAAACGAAAGTTCTTAATTAAATTACTGTGATTGTTAGGTATACACAAATTTAAGATTTTCAGTAGCCTCTCTTTTATTTGGAGTAAACGGTGGATAATTCCTATTTGACATACAGAGCTTACTTTAACCTAAACCACTGACGTTGTAGATACCGCGAATGTGAAAACATTGAAGCATTTTTATGCGATTATAATAACTTAGCTACATACTTCGTTTCTTCCATTTCAGAGTCTTCCGGTTACCAAAATTACCGAACAGGTAATGGAATGTCGCAACAATACCGAAACCGATGATTATCTTTACTTAGATCCGAAACTTTTGAAGGGTGGTGATGTATTACCCAAAAATCGTGCACCATTCCAGGAAGCTGTCGTCTTCATAGTGGGTGGCGGCAATTATATTGAATATCAAAATTTAGTTGACTACATCAAACAAAAGCAAACGGCAAATGTTAATAAACGTATTATTTATGGTTCATCGACGCTGAGCAATGCGAAACTCTTTCTCAAGGAGCTGTCAGCATTGGGGCGTGAGATTCAAGCGCCCGTTCTGAGTTAGGAACGGCAAAGCAAATATGACAAGGTTTATGGCAAAATGAAATGCTGTTGAACAGTGGCAAAAAAGCGAAAAGAGTGGAGTGTTGGCTTTGTTTTAACTTTAAATGAGTTGTATTTATGTAAATTAAAGCTAGTTTTGCATTAAAGGACATACATATGTGTTTGGTGGTGCAGTACTGGCTTTAGTTATTCATTATGTAGCTGCTTTGTTTTGCTTTTTTTTTTGCGTTTTGTGCAACTAGCAGTTACATACACCGGCGATCGAAAATGAGTGCATGGTGATTTTCGTTAGATATTTATAATGTTTTTCAGGTACAATTTTTTTTTTTATTAAAATATGGCTCAAGCTTTAACCAAAGCTACATTATACAAAATTTAGAAAAGTTCAAGATATTTTCATAAAAATTTTGACCTTTTAAATCCGGATTTCTTAAAAAATTTTGGGTATGCAGTTATATGACTTATGAAATTTTAGTAAAACAACTGCAATGCAAGTTTTAAGCGACTTGACAAGTGCAATTTATAGAAACTAGCGTTTATATATTATTTTATTTTTTTTTTGCAAGCGGTCTTGCGCATTTTATTCTAGAAAAAATTCACATTTATATGGTAAAAAAGTGCAAAAAGTGGTGAGCAGAAAAAAAATAAAACTTGCACTTGTTTTACTAAAATTTCATTAGCCATGTAACTGCATAAACATTTTTTTAGAAGTTACGATTAAAAGGTTCAAAGTTTGGATGAACATTTATTATATTTTTCTAAATACTGTATAAAGTTCGACTTATGTGGTTTTGGTCAAAGAAGAAGAAAGAACCATATTTTTGTAAAAAAATAACAAAGTAAAAAAATTAACTTGAAAAACATTACAAATAATTAACAAAAATCACCACGCACTCACCTTTGTTCGCCAGTGTATATACCTAAATACGCATTTTTTCATACCTACACCTAATTGTGGAGCGGACAATAGTGTCTATAAGTTATACACATACATATTTGAAGCATTAAATTTAATAGCAATTATTTTACAACTCACGCCTTATGATATGAATATGTAGCTCGATAAAATAAAATACATTGTTTAATATCCAATAGTATAAAGGACGTAAACATATATGAAAAAAAAAAAACAATAAAAAATTAATTTCCTTATATAATGATGGAAAAGTTACCTTTAGTTTGGTAAAAGGAAAGTAAAAGCGATACAACAAATTGTAGGTATATATGTGTATATTGTATTGTAGGTAAATATTTACCTGTATATTGATGAGGGAATACTGGCGCCCATACTATGATCAAATGCATGTCTAAGGAGTTTCTATCATTTCGAAAATGCTTCCCTACCCTTACTGCATGAAGCAGTGAAGGAAAGGATCAAATTATTGTTATCTCAGCGACTTGACAGAACCGCTAATGTGAAAAGGGAAAATATTGTAGAGCAGTTCAGGACGAAAGATGTCTTCTTTTGTAAGTTAAATAGATGTAAATAGATCTCTAAGAATACAGGCGAGCGGTTTTCCCAGCGTTCGCTTGCTTATTGTGTGGCGCTGTTCCTAACATGTAGTTAAAAGTGACCTACCATGTCCTTATTCCTTCGCCAGCTTTGCAGTTGCCCTCAAAATCTCGGACCCATGTGAGTTCTATTCTATAATGCTGGGCCATATTCAGCATTCAGTGAGGGCCTTTGTGTTGTCTACAGATGAGTATAGAGCTTTCAAAGCTGCTTAAGTGGCAGAGAAGACAAGGACCTCTTTTTTCTTGTTACTGTTGTTGTAGCGGCTGCAACAACCCCGCCCAGATCGGCTAATCTGTCAGTCGTTTTCGTCAAGCTCAACTGACGGGAGACCCAAGAAGCGTGCAGCTTCTATAGGGTCCGTCCATAGGGACAGAGGTGTCAGTTGAATGGGGTGTTGTGGGCATATGAAGAGATGTTTCGAGTCGAGGGGTGTCTCTCCGCATGCCGGGCACTTATTGGACACATCCGCATCTAGTCTGCTCAGGTACGGGTTCTACCAGCTGCAGTAGCCTGAGCGAAGTTGGGCTATTGTGCTCCGAGTCTCCCGTGGCAGACGAAGCTCTGTCTCGTCCACGTCAGGTGGTTGTGTGCCCAAAACGGCATTCACAAGTCTGTAGTCTACGTAACTTGGGACCGACTCCCTATTAATGCCGCTCAAGGCCTGTCGATATGCTGTCGGGTTCAGAGGTTGCTTTATGAAGCTCTGGACTTCGTCCGTCAGTTCATATATATGCCTTCATTCGTGCTTTGGCGAGGGCTCCTCTGCAAGCAAGTGTATATTGCCGGCAACGTTTCTTTGTCCTTGCCCCAGGTTCTGCCGGATGGCGACTTAAGGACCTCGTTGCGGCTCTGTATTTTGTTTACAATTGCGGTTGTGCACGCGGAGGAGAGCAGACTGTCGTAAGTTACTCCGCGGATTTTCGGGTTATTCACCGTCGGAATTAGTTCGTCATCGAGTACGAGTACCCAGCTGCAGTCTGACCTTCTTCATCCAGGTAGTGAAAATGGTAGCTGAGGATTCTGTAGGAGAGAGGGTTACGCTCCTTGCAGTGAAAAAACGAGAGAGATCAGAGCGGTATCCTATTTTTTCTCATTGGGTCTTCTTACTAGGTGTCGAGTGGCCTCCTGGATAGCCTGCACCTTCGTCTGGTATACACTGCAGTGGTCGGGAAGCTGTAAAAGATGCTTCCAGTTGCAGCTCCGGGAAGAGTCAGTGCTTGCAGGTATCGGTATAGGCGCCATTGGCTAGGATTTTCAAGTGGCCGGATGTACCATGAGTTCAGGAACCTGGCTCTCTTAGCCTTAAGGCTGTCAAAGCTGGGTTAATCGATTGTCTTATATAAGTCGCCACAAATCTTTCCAGAGTCTTTAAGTAGAAAAGAGGACAAACTAATAGGCCTAAAATCGTCAGCGTGTACCTCGCTACAGAAATCAATCCACGAGGTACGTGTCGCTTTTCTAATGGCTTTCTTGTAGATGTTAAGTGCACCCAAGATGATTCTAGGGCATCGCGCTGAGCAGCATTGAAAGCCTTCCTGCATTCTTTACGTATTTTATTTGGATCAGAGGACCACAAGGTAGCATGCCTTGATTAGTGCTGCCTGGCAACTCTCAACAAAAACACTAACTAACTGTTCAAGTTCCTCCCGTATTTCTGGTGTGCTAGATTGCTCAGAAGGTAGGTTCTTTTATACAAGAATTAGTTCTTCTGATATTTCGTATCTCTTTTAAGTCGGGGCGCAAGCCTAGTATACTAAATTCTATGAAATGGGGTCATTCAGGATTATCCACGCCGAGATATGATCACTGAAGGATTCACTAACGAGGGTAATGTCAAGAACTTCCATGAGAAAGGTAGGGTCACTTACCTTGTTGCAGATAGACAAGTGACTCACCTCGTTCACTAATGTCAGTGCTGCCTCATTTGTTATGATGTGCATTAGTGTCTATTGCCAGCAGTAGCATCGGGTCTATTGGATATGTGTTCCTCACCGGCACCACCGGTGTTGTGAGTGGAAAACCATATTTCTAGGCTGACCGTGATCCATAGCTCTTCTACCAAAGCGATGTCTACTTCACCTGAGGACAGGTGAAGCAAGAGTGCGGCAGATGCTTCTTTACTGTGATGAATGTCAATTTGTATCACCTTCATTACGCGAATCCCGCCTCTCTACTACCGTCGCGTAGAGCTACCCAGGCTCTCGCTCCAGGCCGCGATGATAAGTCCCGGGCTTCTAAAACTTTTCTGCGGGTCCGCGAATACAACTCACCCACTCTGCCAATCGCCGCGTTATATAGCCCCACCGATGTGCCTTGGCTCTTTTCGGTTCCAGTGCCGGGGCTCCCTCAACGGATCTTTGGCACTTTTAAGTCTCTATCTTGCCATATAGGCTTAAAGCGAAGTCCGGAATAATCTTCCTAGCACACGCTATGTCCTCATATAGCTTCACGAAGTCCTCCTTCGAGACCTGATCCTCCCGGAGTTGGAGCCGTGGCGGAGAATTGGCGACGCGGTACGTCGATCTTGGTGGGTGGCCTTCGCAGGGACGAAGTCCACGGCCCTATTGCAGGTCACCAAGTTGGTCCACCCCCAATAAGCTGGGCAGGCGCTGTTCGCTGAGTGGCGGGCGGGGTTTGTGACTGCTTTCGGCCTTTGTTTGAGAGCCTCCGACTCCCGTAATGGTGTTGGGGTTTTTTCTGTGTTTTGATTCATAATATTTTCCCACTTAACGCGGAGAAAGGGGAACGTCCACTCGGGCAGATGCTTGATCCGGCCACGAAAAGAAAAGGGAGGGAAAACTTACAGGGATTTAGGTCTAAAGTGAAGCCAGGGAGTTACAAAGTGTCACCACGGGGACCACCCTATGCTAATCGCAACGCAGTTGACCACCTACGAGTCGAAAATTCATGGTTACAATGAAACTTTTTGACAATTTAGCGCTTGGAACTTATCACCTGTATTCAGTTCAGCCTGAAACACACTGAAGTTATGCGGAGGGTGAATCCTAAATATAGACGACACCAGCTCTAGTTGAGCATAATTACATTGCCTTGTTTCTTCCGCTGATGAAGAAGTAGTTTGATTTCAACCAGTTCGAAAGAACAAGCGGTCCGATGAGGAGTATTACAAAGCTCCAGATAAAAAGGATGTTGCCTGCAGGGCCACGCTGCGATCGGGCGCAACTTGAGCTATGTGGGACCGTTATAGGGAGCTGAAGAAGGAAGCGAGATATATTTGCCGTAATAAGAAGGGTGAGGCCGAAATATGTGTACGAAGAGCTTGAAATGTTGAGGAATAATGTGCGGAAATTTTGACAGAAAGTTGCGCGACTGACGGAATGTTTCAAGACCAGGGTAAATTCCTGTACTTAGGCCCTCCATAGGACACGTCGTGGTAAAACAAGGGAACTCGTTAACCCCTCTAACCTCTCCTATACAAAGCAGAATGCGGAAATTCGTGTTATCTTTATGCCCGCTATATCGCTCAGATTTCCAGTGGTTCCAACGTCCATGCACCTTATTCTGCTCCTTATCAGTGTGGGACATTCGCAAAGTAATTGCCTTACTCATTCATGTTCCTTATTGTCTCTGCAGCTCCTTCACAAAACGTTAAACTGCACCAGGAGTCGCACCACGAATCAACCTGGAGAGCTCGTTTATCTTTTCTCATCCCTTTGCGTCCACATAAGCTTTGTTAAGTGTTACATATTTGCAGCTATTTCTATAATTAGCTTGCTTTGGAGAAGAAGAATGCCTGTATGTTGAGATTACAGGTAGAGAGCGGCATGCCCAGCGCTTTCCATGACCACAAAATCGGAAGGGAAGTGCCCTTCCTGGCAAGCTCAGCC